AACCACCCTGCCAAGCATCCAATTTTTGGATGTGGCATGTTTTTCCTATTGGAATAACCTGATAAAATCAATTCCCTTTTTTGTTCAGGTTTTGACTTTGAGAACAGCATCCATCAGAAGACTGAAAAATCAAAAACTGAAGCCAAAAAAAGAAAAAAAAAAAAAAAACACTGCCTAGGACAGGGCAGCCTACTTTGTTCCAAACCAATGCACATGGTGACATTATTGAATTTTACTTGAGTTCTGTACTCCAGGAAAACAGTGACATTAAGAAATCCCCCCCAACCTTTTGTTTTCTGAAATCCTCTACCATTTTGTTTTCTAGGAAATGGCTCACCCCAAAGTACCATCCTTCTCTATGTGACTTATATACTCATAAGACTATTGACTGTCTTGACTCCATAAGGCTCACAGGTGACTCCCTTTACCTGTGACAAGCCAGACACGGATCTTTCCTCTTTTACCTAAACCTGCTGTTGGCCAGACGCAGACCCCCAAGTCCCCATTCCTTGTCTCACAAATGATTAAAACCATATGTCCACCTGAAACTATCTAGACACAGAGACAAACATTTCCAATTTGAAAACTGATTGAGACTTCTCCTGACTGCAAAACAATTCCTCTTATAAAATCCCCCCACCTGTAACTTGTCTACTCTTCCCTATAAAAGCCTAAGGCAAAACCACCCTGCCAAGCATCCAATTTTTGGATGTGGCATGTTTTTCCTATTGGAATAACCTGATAAAATCAATTCCCTTTTTTGTTCAGGTTTTGACTTTGAGAACAGCATCCATCAGAAGACTGAAAAATCAAAAACTGAAGCCAAAAAAAGAAAAAAAAAAAGTGATCTGAGCACACCAAAAGGGAGGTGGGTCACCAAGTTACAAGGAAAAGAAAGATGTAGTTGCCTCAAGGCTGATGGCCTAAATCACATACTGTGGATCATTAAACCTGTACCTCTCCAGACAGTTTATTAAGCTATTACCCACACAGCTTCAAGGCAGGGGGCACAGTGATGAAACTCAGTAAATGATTTCTGAACTGAATTAAATAAAATCTACGAATTTGCTTGGTACTAATCAGGGGAAAGTTAAAGGTGGAGATAGGAAAAAAGCAGCCCCTGACAAAAGCTGGCCTGGCACTCACAGCTATGCCGTTATTTTCCTGTTGGACATTTTGTTACAGAATACCAAGATCAGAAAGGCTACTCAGGGCCGGTCAGGTGGTGCACTCGGTAGAGTGCGGTGCTTGGGAGCGGGGCGGCGTTCAGATCTCATATAGAGACTGGTCCGCTCACTGGTTGAGTGCAGTGCGGGCGCGACACCGAGGATTGCAATCCCGTTGCTGGTCACGGTACGGGCGCGACACCGAGGGTTGCGATCCCATTACCAGTCACGAAAAAAGACAAAAAGGAAAGAAAAAAAAAAGAAAGGCTACTCAGAGACCATGATAGAGTGAGACAAAATAAGGCTATTTCATAATTTCGTCTAAGCATAGACAAAAACAAGGCCATTGTGCCATACACAAAGTACCAAACATTCTTCTATCTGTACTAAAAGGAGTAACTGCCATCTTCTTTACCAATCACAGCTTTATCCTTGCTCTAGTCTGCCCTCCCTATAGATAAGATTTGAAATAACAAATGGTATTATTGTCCTGGCTTTCTGACAACATTCACTCTTAGATTCTCCCCTAAATCATCCCCAAAGTCAGCCAGACGCCCAATGCCTCAACAAGTAATAAATCCAAAATGTTTACTTTGGTTGAAAGGCATTGACAAGGTACCCTGGTGAAATTACTTGAGTTTGCAAAGGGAGGCAAATCATTAGGTGGCCACTGAAGAATAATTAATAAAATTTATCAAAAAGTCACAATGTTTTTAAACTGGTTGCAGATCAAATGCTATTAAAGGAAACAGAATCACCAAGGAATTAGAAAGAACTTCTCTGCATGGAGGGCTGTGACAGGAAGTTTCAGGGGGCTGTGCACTTTTTTTTTTTTTTTTAATTCTTGTCAGTTCTAGCTGTAGTTGTTTGAGGAAACTCCATACTGTTTTCCATAACGGCTGTACTAGTATAGTCCCACCAACAGCTGTGCACATTTTTATTGTTTTAAGAATAAATCAACAGAGGGGCCGGCCCGGTGGCGCACTGCGCTAGTGCGCCGCTTGGGAAGCGCGGCGGCGCTCCCGCCGAGGGTTCGGATCCCACATACAGACCGGTTCCCGCTCACTGGCTGAGCGAGGCATGGGGGCAACACCGAGGGTTGCGATCCCGTTGCCGGTCCTGGTCCGGTACGGGGGCAACACTGAGGGTTGTGATCCGTTGCCGGACACAGAAAAAGACAAAAAAAAAAAAAAAAGAATAAATCAACACAACTGAAAAAGCTTTCTGGAATTTATTTCTGGATTCCACTTTCTTCCAGCACTTCAGGAGCTGGCTCCATGTTAATAATGTTCCCCAGACTACCCTGAAATCCACTGACAGTGATTACCATTTTGTAATCCTTAATGAAAGAATACTTGATCTGAAAAATGATTATCAATGGCTGTTAAAACCATTAGGTAAAATGTTATTTAAATTCTTAGTCTATGAAAATAGGTATGAAAATTATAGAATCAGTGCAGTGCCGGTGAAAATTTCTTGCTGTTTCCCAATATCCATTCATACTACTACTGGTACCCAATGCCCAGAATAGTGACTACTTGGCAATTAGTTGTGTTGGAGTGAACAGGACTGAAGCCATGTTGGGACCTAAAACCCCGTGGGCTCCAGAAGATTTTAAGAGAGCAGGTTTTTTTTTTTTTTTGTCTTTTTCTGTGTCCGGCAACGGATCACAACCCTCAGTGTTGCCCCCGTACCGGACCAGGACCGGCAACGGGATCGCAACCCGCGGTGTTGCCCCCATGCCTCGCTCAGCCAGTGAGCGGGAACCGGTCTGTATGTGGGATCCGAACCCTTGGCGGGAGCGCCGCCGCGCTTCCCAAGCGGCG